CTGTGGGTCAACACTGCCATCATGCGGAAAATGTTTTGTACATCCTCGCTCATGCACACACTGCTTCTTCCTCAGTGCTGCTTTGAGCCGTTTTTGAAGGTGAGGGTTAGCGTAATTCATAAATAGCTGAGCTTGGCCTCCTTGCATTTTCTATTTATGTTTTCTATAGTAGACTGGAATCATGGGACCCTTCAGAGTCTTAATGCAGACCCTGTTGACTGAGGGCCCAGTTACTAGTGCAAGGCAGTGCTGAGGTCCAGGAAGAGGAAGTGGAGGGGCGGGGTTTTGCTTTGCTCAGCTTGCAGTATGAATCAACTGGCTGGTGTCCTAGGGCGGTAAGGCGCCTCACTCTCCGGGTTCTGATGAGAAATTTCTAAGGTGCACGTTTATGTTGGGGCCTGAGGAGAAGTCAGGGAAACCCAACTAGGCACCCACAGTTGTAGTTGGCAGGAATCGCCATCGTCCGCCATGGCTAAGAATCACGGGAAGGAAGCTCAGTGGCTCTGTGACTTTTGAAACTCCATCCTCTTGATGGCAGTAGAGCTCCAGGAGAGATCTTGTGAGCGTTTGTTTCCCGCCCCTTGAGTCTGAAAAAAATGCCACCCAAAGCCAAATGCCCCAAAGAAGATGGCTGCCCTAAATGTTGCCCAGCTGTGAGTAGTTTGAAAACTTTGTATCTTGTTTTCCCCATTCAGACAAGCTGAGACTTAAATTAGGGAACCTCATAGGACTCTTTTCCTTAGGTTAGGGAAGATATTTCCCATTTCATTCATTTTCACTTTGTACAGCAGCCTAGTGTTTTTTAAAAGTTTTGGTATTTTTTTTCTTGTAATTTTTATAAAATCAATATATCCTTTGAGATTTAGAAGCAAAGTACTATGAAGTTAACACATGCCAATGGCTGTAGCTGAGGGATACAACGCTCTAAGCCCTGTTTTTTGAACCTCAATTTTTGGGCTGGGAACTAATTACTAGTTATGTGCCTGGAAACTTCCCAATACCTAATACTGTGTGAAATATCCATGGCAGTAAATCTTCCTTATAGGCTGATTAGGGTGGAATTTCAGACGATAATTGCTGAGATTCATAATGATATACAATTACTGTGCTGAAATGTTTTTATTTTTATTATTTATTTATCCATCCATCCATTTATTTATTTATTCAGTCATTCATTTTTTGTTCTTTAGACACGGTTTCTCTATGTATATTTCTAGACGCAAAATCCCTCTGTAGGCCAGGCTGTCCTCAAACTCACAGAGATCCACCTGCCTCTCTGCCTAGGGATTTCTGGTATAAAGTTGTATGCCACCTCCCGTTGTCCTATTAATCATTTGTACAGAATTGTTTTTACATGTGTGTATCTATTCTGGAGGCTGAGAAAATTCATTGAATGGTAAAATATTTTTTCAGTAACTTGGTATTGCCTTCGGACATCAGATACCACAATTTCTCAGAGAATAGCCTTTCTGAAGCCTGCATTCATTAATTTGTTCTACAAACTCCGTATGATATTTAAGTATTATATCTTACTCAACTTTATATACTTCAATAAGTCCAACTTGTGTGTGCCTGAGTGCACCCACACACACAAGAACAAGAAAGATCTAGAAGTTAAAAACTGCTTCATTAGCTTCATTATGCAGTTGATCGGAACTAATGCAGAGACCCACAATTGGACAATGTGCTCAGAATTAGAGACTTGCGGAACAGTAGATCATAAACAGGATGTCTTCATCAAATCCCTCCCCTCAGGGCTAAGGCAAGTGTGCAGAAGAGGAGGCAGAAAGATTCAAAGGACCAGAGGGCATGGATGACACCAAGAAGATAGTATTCTCCAGACATCAGGGGACTGACACACATAGGAACTCAGAGACTGGCAGCATCCACAGGGTCTGCGCAGCATGCACAGGGGCCCCCGAAATGTGAGTAGAGAGTGGACATGATCCCTTCCCTAACCAAGAAGCTATCTCCAATTTACCCTCCATGCAAAGGACATTTAGTTTTCTCTAATGGAGTCTCATTGGGTATATAAAGCACACTTAGTCCTTTCTTTGGTGTATTTTTTTTTATCATACTGGTCTTTTGTTTGTATGTTATGATTTCTGATTTTGTGTTTTTTTTTTTTTTTTTTGGTTTTTTT